CCTCCTCCTCCTCCTCCTCCTCCTCCTCCTCCTCCTCTTCTTCTTCTTCTTCTTCTTCTTCTTCTTCTTCTTCTTCTTCTTCTTCTTCTTTTTTTAATTTTATGTGTATGGGTGTTTGCCTGTAAGTATATATGTGAACCACATGCATGCAGTGCCTGAGGAGACCAGAAGAGGGTGTCAGATCTCCTGAAACCAGAGTTACAGATCATGGTGAGTTGCCATGTAGGTGCTAGGAATTGAAACTGGGGTCCTCTGGAAGTGCTCTCAACAGCTGAGCCGTCTCTCCAGGCTTTTCTTTCTTTTTTGAAAATGCTATTCGTTTAGCTTATTTTAAAATATGATATTTATTTTTATTTAATTTTTGATACTTTTATACATGTATAAAAATGTTTGATCATATCCACCCTTATTTAATTCTTGAGAATTTTATACATGTATACAATGTATTTGATCATATCCACCCTGTCTCTACTGTATTAATGCCAACATCCTGAGGGTGACACTATTATAATATTTTTAGCATGGTACCATGTGAAAGCTGAGACAGGTAACTAGGGCACCCTGTGTGCTCTGTTGTGTCTAATAAGAACCCGTACCTCTCCAAAAATGAAGCATTAAGCCTGTAAGAAAGGAGTGGGAAGTTTGGAGAGTTTCTGCTTGCTGGAGGAGTTGATATTTATATGTAGCATGACAGTGGTAAGTGGCAATTAGAGAGTGTCATTGAGGTGGGGTGTGGCAGCCAAGGTAATAGTTAGGTTAAAGTACCAGTTAGGCAATTAATATATTAAATCTTAAGTGTATTTCAAAGGTTAATTAATGGGGGTTGCTTCAGGTTAGACGTGGGTGGAGACACTGAGGAGGCTGAGCACTGGGAGGCTGGAGCTACCCATTATTACCATGATGGAACAGGCCAGGAAAGAGCTCATTCCAAGGAAGGTCAATGGGCTGGCTCCAGGACCCAGGTTCATCCATGGGCCCTCTTTCTCACCCTGTAACCTCAGCTTTTTGTCTGGACTTCACCCATACAAGCCTTGGTGCCTACTAGTCATTGTCACATATGGCATGTAACACCTATACTACTAAACATGTGTCCAGATGTATAGCCTAGAAGAAGGCCAGGAGATGAGGCCACTGGTAGTCAAGAAGAAATTGGGAGGCCTGAGTTGCCACTATCCATTCACTTTATGACAGTCTGTGTTTTACCTTGCATCAGAAACATGCCAGGACTCTCCCTCAGGTCTGGCTCCACAGCTGAGCTCCTCCAGACTGGGTGGCCACGAGGGTCTGATCCTTCCAGTTTGGATTACTCAAGACACGCACATGGGTGTACTCACAGATGGGCACACACACACACACATGCATACACATACACATATGTGCACGTGTGTGCATGCACACACACATGGCACACCACATACATGAACACATGCACACATACATGGGTGCACTCACAGATGGGCAGACACACACGTATGTATACACACACGCACACACATGCATACACATGTGCAGACACATACACATTCATATGCATACACACACATATGTGTGTATGTCTGAAGGTCCTACACTTGTTATCCAGGACATTTCTCTTGCCCTATGTGCTAGAGTTCATTGTATCTGACTTTCACAGTGTTCAGCCACTATTCTTTGGGTCACTTTCATAAGTGTCATGGAATCATCTGTGCTTTGTGGAGTGTGCAGCTCCCCTTTGAGAAATATCTGCATTTGGTTTGTGTGTGTGTTATGAACATAGGGTATGTACCTAAAATAGCAGAATCCATGAGACATGACCACATTTCAATGAAAGGATTTTGGTTTTTCTTTGGTTTCTTCCTGTTCTAGTTTTACTTCTGTTATTGCAATAAAATACTCTGGCAAAAAGACACTTGTGGGGAAAAGAGGTTTATTTCAGCTTATAATTTCAGATGCTCATTGTGAAGAAGTCGCAGTAGAAACTTTAAACACCTAGTCACGTCACATGTACAGCCAAGAGCTTAGAGAAAGAATACATGCATGCTAACTTGCTTGCTTGCTTGCTTGTGCTCAGCCCCATTTTTTAACTCTTATACAGTGTAGGAACCCCTGCCTAGGGAATGGTGCTGCCTACAGTGGGCTGGATTTTCCCACATCAATGAATTTAATCAAGACAATCCCACACAGACATCCCCACATGCTATACCAATGTAGGCAATTCCTCACTGAGACTCTTCCCAGGTGGCTAACCATCACACTTTCCTTTTTCACAACCCCTAAACTTTTCATGGAGAATCTGGGCCCATCCTATTTTCAGTGGACCCACAGCAGCAGCAGGCCTTTCTAATCCAGTGGCTGTGATGTCTAATCTTGATCTGTAGGTCTCATTGTTTTTAGGGCTATAGATGCTGTCTCCTCCATGCTACATGCTTCCCCATCACCAAGCCAGATATCTATAAGAACTGCTAGTCAAGGGTATCCAGTGCTCATTTCTGGGCTATGGGTTCCTCAGGAGTTCTTACTCTATCATCTAAGAGGAAGCATCTGTTATCTGCAGGGCGTGGGGTGCAGGCTTGTGCAGCAAGGAGGTAGATATTTAAGGTGGGTTTGTTCAGAACTGGCAATACAGCTCCTTTGGTAAAGCACCTGCCATGAACTTTGCAAGTACAAAGACTTTAGTTTCATCACCAGAACTCAGATGAAATGCCAGGTAGTGTCTCAGCTCAGAGAAGACAGAGACAGCAGGATCTCTGGCCAGACAGTCTAGTCTAGTCAGCAAGCCTCAGGCTAGTAAGAGACCCTGCCTCAAAGGAGGTGAACAAAGTTTCTGAAAATGAGACCTGAGGTTGTTCTCTGGACTCCACACATGTTCACATACTGTGCTGGACAGTTTTGTGTCAACTTGAAACAAGTTGACACAAATTAAAGTCATCTGAGAGGAGGGGACCTCAATTAAGAAAGTGCCTCCATAAGATCAGACTGTACACAAGTCTGTAAATCATTTTTTAAAAATTAGTGACTGATGGGGGAGGGCCTAGCTCATTGTGGGTGGTGTTATCTCTTGGCTGTTGGTCTCGGGTTCTATAAAAAAGCAGGCTGATCAAGCCATGGGGAGCAAGCCAGGATGCAGCACTCCTCCATGGCTTCTGTATCAGCTTTTACCTCCAGGATCATGCCCTGTTTGAGTTCCTGTCATGAATTCCTTCAGTGAGAAGCAATGATAAGGAAGTGTAAGCCAGATAAATTCTTTCATCCCCAAATTACTTTGGTCATGGTAATAAAAATGAATTGGGTTCCCTTTTTTCTTAAATTTAATTATCCTCTGTAGTTTCCCCAAATTTCCATTCCCTTTCCACCTCTTTTCTTCTTCAAGTGAGGTAATCCTTTGAGTTTCTGTCTCTCAACCCTTCACTAACTGCAGCTACAACAGCCAGCACAAAGTAGGCATCATGTTTTACCACTTTGACCCCAGGAGTAAGAGGCTAATAACTCCCTTGTCATTTGCCACACAGCCAATAAACCATGGCCACAATTTCTGTAATGAGAGGTTTCTGGGTCAACCCACATGGACCTATTATGCCATCCAGTCCAACTACCCGGGCACTTTGGGGAAGTTACACACACAATGTATCCTAGATTTATTTCTATTGCTAAAATAAACACGATGGTCAAAAACAGCTTTGGTAGACAATAATTTATTTCACCTCACATCTCACAGTTTGATGAGGAAGGGGACTCAGGGCAGGGGCTTGGAGGAAGGACTGAAGGAGAGGCCATTGAAGAATGCATCTTACAGACTTCTACAAGGCTTCTTATACTTGCATTTTTATACAGCCAAGGATGACTTCCCCAGAGGAACAGTGCCCATAGTGGGCAGAACAAGGTCTCTACATTTTGTGCTTTCCTTTGCTTAGAACACCTCCTAATAAAGGAAGGTCTTCATATTTCATAGCCCTGGGGCCTGTGAGGGTTTTAGAGGACATGCTAGGTGCATAGCCCTCCTCTGCTCTTGATATGCCCTTATAGGCAGCTCGATGTTAGAAAAGGAGTATGGCTGCCACCTGTTGGACAGTAGATGAAAATGACCCATGAGAATAGCTTGGTGACAATGGACATGTGTGAGCTCCCAGAGATCAGGAGGTCTCTAATAACCAAGAGAGGAAAATCAGAGCCTTGCAAAGAGATTGGCAGATGGGTGTGTCTGACACAGTCTTGAGCTGTGACAGCTTCAGAGCCTCTGTTGGCCTGGCAGTCTGGTGTCCCTCTGACCCAATCAAGTAAGGCATGAAGAGACAGGAATCCCAAGAGAGGGGGGAGACAGGAAGAAGCTGATGTGAGGCCGGAGACATGAGCTGCCCCCAGCACCACCATCAGGCTGGTGGAGTCCCACACAG